GAGATAAAGGTCGCAAAAGCTTGACAATGTGAAGATGACATAAACCAAACAAGAATAAACCATCCTTCTTTCTATTACTAAGAATCGATGTGGAACAAAGAATTCCAAGTTGAAATGGTTCCCTATATTTTATTTAATATTTAAGACCTATTACATATACAGTCTGATAATCATTGGATATTTCAAATCAGTCTCTCTTCTACCTAGAAACGTTATTCATATTAATAAGTAGTTTGAATTTACTTTCATTTGTTATCAATTGAGATGTCTGATAGTCGAAGAGTTTTGTTTCATATTTTGATTTTGTTAATTTCAAAATCATGGAGTTTCACTATCAACAGTTTCTGGAAGAAATTTCCTTACACTGGACCTGTTACATTTAATTATTATAGTTTGATATCAAACTCTAGTTTAATCTACTGTACAGCAACTTGTTCATCTCTCTACAACTGGGATCAGATTTATTATCAAGGAGAAGATTGTTATTGTTTAGCACCAAGTTATGTTAATGGTACAGGAATGGTAACGACCAACTCGTCCATGTGGACTATTTTTAAGGGTATGTTATATTGACATTTTTCTTGTGGTTTGGGTAAAAGTATAATAGCTTAGTAACTTGATAATTTATTTAAACTCCAACTTGTTTCTGAAACCATAGATTTTCTATAATTATGTTTGTATTTATACTGTAAATCTTGAATAAATATTATTAAGTCAGTATAATATCATGCATTTACATTGTGACCATACGACTGCAACAATTTTACCTCGTGACCATACGACTGTTGCCATTCTTCCCTGTGATCATATGACTGTGACCAAGTACATTTGTGACCTGACGACTTTTACTTACTGTGACCATACGGCTGGTCATTTATTTTGTAACCATACATCCGGCCATTTTACCTTGTAACCATACGGTTGATCAGTTAACTACTTTATTTGACATTATTCGAGATCAATTAATAAATGTTTTATATTACAGAAGAAAGTTATTGTACTGAGAAGGAATACAAGATATTTCCAGATCAAAAATATTGTTTGAAACATTTTTTAACGGGACAAACATGGGAGGATGACAACATAAGATGTCGACAAGACAGCGGGTATTTAATATCGGTGTATACTCTACAAGATTTGACTAATTTAAGATCTCTTTACACACGTAAGTTAATTTTATACATAATGACTAGGGTTAGGACTAGCAGGTTGTACAATAAGAGCCACAAAGATTACTGCATCACCATCAACAATACTTTATATTGGGTAATTTTACAGACGTCATTTCTCTAATGTCATTCAAGAACAGACTGGGGAAAAGTAAAATTTATTCAATGACGTATCATTTATTTGAAATATAAAACATGAAACAAGGAACTATCTCCTTTCAGATAACCGTTTTATGTATATCGGAGCTCACAAAAAACGGAATGGAACAGATTTTGTTTGGACAACTGGTGGAACGGTATCCAAGATGTTCTGGAATTCTGGTGAACCCAACGACGCTTCTGGTACAGAAATGTGTGCTTCAGTGTTATCATATGGTGCCTTTGATGATATACTGTGCAACAGAAAATTCAGTTTTATTTGTCAAATATTAACTAAATAAAACAACACACAGGACTGTTTTATTTGTTAAATATTAACTAAATAATATAACAAACAGGGCTGTTTTATTTGTGTTTGCTACATAAGTACCCAGACCTCCGGAATACAGATATGGACAAGGAAGATTTGGAACACAACCTGGAGAGTGGTAAAAATCAGGGCAGATGCAAGACTTGACCGCTCACTTGTATCGCAACAGGGACAAAGCTGAAGGGGAGAAATTCAGGGATATGGAGAACTACTTCAACGGCCCGGTTGGTTCTGTTACATGGCAACGCTTTCTTGGTGAAATGGTCCCTTTATTGATTAACCGGATGACTTCAGATATCTTTCTTTTATTGACAAACAGTCTGGAACACAAAGTTGTGAATGCATTAACCCATCTTCACAATATCAAACTTTTACGAACTTCTTATACCTTAACTGCAATAGCCAGCTTTCTTGTATCTCCAGCGATTTTATGGGATTTTACGCAAGTGAATAAAAACAATGAGAGACCTGGACATAAAGTCTGTAAACAGTATGTCTTATGGCTTACACACATCGAGGGATCTGATTGGTTGTATCCGGTAGCGTACACTCCAGTCAAATCGCTGCTCTAACTAACTTCCATGATACAAGAACCGTTGCTATTGCAGACAAAGTATGAGATAAAGGTCGCAAAAGCTTGACAATGTGAAGATGACATA